ACTGTGAACGATGACGTCAAGACGACAGGTACGGTGAGGTGGAGGACGGCATGTATCACCAGGTATGGAGGAGTACCTGTCGTCCAGTGGACGGTCACGGTAACCGTGCGGCGGTGGACGGGACATATAATGGGCAGTGCAGGCGAGGAACCAGCTTCTCCCTCACTGTCGTACTATTTCTCCTTCATTGTGGAACTATTTCTCCCTCACTGTAAAAGCAGTAGTTACCCCCTACCTTCCTCTGCCCTTTCCTTCTGCCTTCTTCTCCTGTCCCATTCCTTTGCACCCATCCCATGCCCCCTTTCCTCTGTTGCTTACTCTTACCCCCCTCCTCTATCCTCCTCCCCTGTTCCGTTCCTCAATCTCATTCTTCTTCATCCCTTTCCCCCGCCACTTTCCCCTTGCTCTGGTACCCCCTTACCCCTCCCCCTCTCTTGCCTCTCCATCTGGTGAATACAAATATGATTGAGGGCAACAAAAACACACATTAATTTACGCAAATTATTTAGACATTATCTCGAGTGAGTTGAGCATTTGTGACCTCTCGCTTGTTTGGGTCTCCTGGACCTGAAAAACAGTTTAGTGAAACCCTGTAATGTGCACATTTGGCGTGTTTGTCTTTGTGTATGTGTTTGTGCACGCGCATAATCGTGTGCTTGTGCATGGGTGGGCATGAATGTGTGTACCTGTGTGAGTGTGAGTGTCAGTGTGAGTGTGTGAGTGTAAGTGTCAGTGTGTGAGTGTGTGCATATTATTTTGGCATAAGTATATCGCGGATGACAAAAGGCAAATAACAAACATATATATATATATATATATATATATATAATATATATATATATATATATATATATATATATATATATATATATATATATATATATATATATATATATATGTCGTACCTAGTAGCCAGAACGCACTTCTCAGCCTACTATGCAAGGCCCGATTTGCCTAATTTGCCAAGTTTTCCTGAATTAATCTATTTTCTCTAATTTTTTTCTTATGAAATGATAAAGCTACCCATTTCATTATGTATGAGGTCAATTTTTTTTTATTGGAGTTAAAATTAACGAAGATATATGACCGCCCCTAACCAACCCTACCTAACCTAAGCTAACCTATCTTTATAGGTTAGGTTAGGTTAGGTAGCCGAAAAAGTTAGGTTAGGTTAGGTTAGGTAGGTTAGGTAGTCGAAAAAAACATTAATTCATGAAAACTTGGCTTATTAGGCAAATCGGGCCTTGCATAGTAGGCTGAGAAGTGCGTTCTGGCTACTAGGTACGACTACTAGGTACGACATATATATATATATATATATATATATATATATATATATATATATATATATATATATATATATATATATATATATATATATATATATATATATATATATATATATATATATTCTGTAACAGCGTTTTACGACCGTGTTCGTTGCCGCCTCCATGAATGCCAAGTAGATGTTCCTCGTGAGAGATAATGAAAAATATCCTCACGACTCTTCATATATGATTAAAACCAGGATGTTTTATGACATTTTAGTCAATTTATTTATTTTAATCAATTTAAAAGCCAACTGGTGGTAGTTGATCCTTGTAGAAGCCAGTGAGAAGCAGTCACGTCAATATGTTTCATCTGTGACATTAGACAAACGATGTCGAGATTATTCTGAAGTTATCTGAAGTGAAGTGATTCATAGAACCAGGGGCCAGATTCACGATGCAGTTACGCAAGCACTTACGAACCTGTACATCTTTTCTCAATCTTTGGCGGCTTTGGTTTACAATTATTAAACAGTTAATGAGCTCCAAAGCACCAGAAGACTGTTTATAACAATAACAACAGTTGATTGACAAGTTTTCATGCTTGTAAACTGTTTAATAAATGTAACCAAAACCGTCAAAGATTGAGAAAATATATACAGGTTCGTAAGTACTTGAGTAACTGCTTCGTGAATCGGGCCCCTCTGGAGTGGTTTACTAAGCCATATGGCTCCATTTTAGCCCAAGGAGTCTTTAGACACAGTTGCAATTGATCAATGGCTGATAATCGATTTACCTAATGTTTCAAGGTCGGTAGGCTGATCTGTATGTCACAGAATAGCCATAAAAATGCACAATGTATTTTTTTATATAAACTTAGATTTAGATACATAGGCTTTAGATGTAACTGAAAATCATTACAATCGTAGCTAGACTGAGCATGTGGACACCCGTAGAAACGTTTAGGCAACAACTAGTGGTGGAACTTCTATAAGCGAAACATTTGCCATAAAGAAATATGATGAGTTGTATACTTCAAGGGAGTTGAGGATCCTCGAGGCGCGAACTATATTATCTGGCACACAAGTGAATCTAAGATGAGGAGAAAGAAACAATCTTGGGAACTTACGAACGTCCAGGAAATATGGCTTCGAATATTGGCTTCGAACAGCAGCTTCGAACAGCTTCGAACTTCGAACAATGGCTTCGAAATTGTTGCAAATATATTGCACAAGTGCAGCGAGGCACACGTCACAACGGGAGCATCGTGAAGACGGAGTGTTATGAAGATAAGGAAGTGTGCTGAATCTGTGACAACCTGGGGCCAGATTCACGAAGCAGTTACGCAAGTATTTACGAACCAGTACATCTTTCTTCAATAAATGACGGCTTTGGTTACATTTATTAAACAGTTTACACGCATGAAAACTTGCCAATCAACTGTTGTTATTGTTATAAACAGCCTCCTGGTGCTTCGGAGCTCATTAACTGTTTAATAAATGTAAACAAAGTCGCCAAAGATTGAGAAAAGATGTACAGGTTCGTAAGTGATTGAGTAACTGCTTCGTGAATCTGACCGCAGATTCGTAAGTGCTTGCGTAACTGCTTCGTGAATCTGGCCGCATGTTCGTAAGTGCTTGCGTAACTGCTTCGTGAATCTGGCCCCCTCAACAACTGACTCTCTGAGAGGTAGTTGAAATAAGTTGGCCTATTTGCCCTAACTTTTAAACCTCTACAATTCATCCAGCAAAACCCTTATCTTTAAATCATCCAGCTAAGTAAGACTAAATGAATCATCAATGAGACATCAAGAATCAGGTGCTAAGTAAAAAAATTATAAATGGGGAAGACATTGGGCGGAACTATTGAGCACATGTAGATTAAATGAAATGCAAGAATTAGTAAATGCTTACTGACCTAAGAAAATGCATACAGTATAACACCAAGTAATACCATGAGAACATGAATTAATGCTGAATTTGCCGATGAAGATGTGTGTGAATGCTAAGTATGAGATGTGGAGAATAGTCAACTGAGACGCCAGCAGCTCTTCATTGCTGAAAAATAATCAGAAGTTTGTCTTGAGTAATTCTACAGTTGTTTATCTTCGGCGAAGTGAATTTCGGAGCAAAATTCCGATAAATGTGGATGAAGGGATTTGCTGAGCGAGGCAACGGAATGGTTGGATAAGGAAAGTTGTGGGGAAAAATGCGAGACCGATTTAGGGTCAAACACGGTACTGGGGTGGCGAGGCGGCGTTGCTGGGCGTAGTGATGCACTGAACAGGGCGAGGCAAGGGGGAGGCAATGGGCGGGAGTCAGGATGAGGGACTTAACAGATGTGGAAGATGGTTAGGCCAGGGAGGCAGTGGGCTCTATGAAGTGAAGGACAGGGCTAGATTGGGCGAGGCAATGAGCTGGGTCATATTAGGCAGTTGACTGTGTCAGCGAGGCAGTGGAATGTGTCGATCAGGCGAGGCATTAAAATGTGTCGATCAGGCAAGGCAGTGGAATGTGTCGATCAGTTCTGGGACCAGTCTAGTGGCATACATTTTAATATTCTCTAGACTCGTCTTGTGCTTGGCTAGGTATGGACTTCATGCTGGAGGCGCATACTTCTACACACGCTCCCACCCACACACACACACCCACACACACACGCCCCCACCCACCCACACACACACAAACACGCACACACGCCGCACACACACGCTCTCTCCAATAATACGCCGCAATACGCGCCGAAATATTGACAGCACCCACGCCGACCTACGCTCACCATATATATCTGACCACCGTGAGGAGTGCACACACACCCACACACACACACGCATACACACACCAATAAAAGCATTATCCACGTCCATACACCTACCCAAAGGTTGCTATCTACACACACAAACACACGTCCAAACACGCTCAAACGCGCACAAAAACCAAATTTACCATTGAACATAAAACATTTCCCTAAAAGTAAGGGTCCCGTGCAGCTGAAAGTTGGACCGGCCGTAGCCGGCAGGCGTCGAGAGTCCCTGAGGCACCTGGTCATTACCGAGGGCCGGGAGGGGGCAGGAAGGGGCGATAAAGCAAGGAGGGACAACCCTGACCAAGACCTCGGACTGGTCTCCAATGTGGTAATGTCATAAAGTCGGCGGGAGCTTCACCAGCAGTAGGGGCCGCGGGTCAATACATGTATTTGTTGTGAGGCAGCCTGGTGGTGGTGGTGCATCTGCCTCAACACACACACACACACCACCTGGCGCTGGGTGCCGCCGTCCCTCTAACACGCAGCTGCCTGACGGAGGCTTCGGGCTAGGCTAACATCGAGAGGGGCAACACCAGCTGCTGGAAACTGCTGCTGCTGCTGCTACTGCACAGAGTTGATAGTCCCTCCCCTACTGCTGTCCCTCTCCCAGCTCTCTCTCTCTCCCTCTCTCTCCTTCCCGCCCCCGGCACTCACCCGCCTCTCTTTCCCCTCCTCCTCGCATTACTGCCAACATATCGAAGCAATTCACCCTTCCAACCACACTATTCAAATCGAGATTCCCGAATCCACAACAAACCCCAAAAATAATTCAACTACCAGGGAAGTTTTACTACATCGGCAATCTATTACAAGACAATAAATTCAACACTATTTTCATAGATTTCAGCGCAGTGTGGTCAACAGCCCCGGGTGGCAACGTTGGTTCTGGGTCTCTCCGGACTCGGCGTGATAGTGTGTGTTAGTTGTCGCTAGACTGGTGTCGTGAAGGGACGTGTGCTCCCCCGCCACCCAGGCGCCGCTTCCCCTGCCTGCTATCGTGGACACTAATCCCGCTAGGATATAATTTGTTAATTTGTTGAGTGTGTGTGTGTGTTGGAGGCGGGACCTCGCCTCACCGGCCAGGTATGTGACGTACTTATTGAGTCGCTTTGTGCTTTTGTTATTTTTCTCGTGGGATGGACGTGGCCGCGTGTTGTCGTGCTCTGTCATCGTCCTGTGATTGAAAATTTACTTAACATGTTTATGTGCTTAAAGACTTCATTCATAGGGTGTGAGGGTGTGGTTGAGGGGGTGATGATACACTGTGGTGAAGGTGTAACAGAGGTCGGGGTGTGACGAGGTGGGTGTGACGCAGAGATGCAGGGGTGACACTGGTGTCGGGTGGGAAATTGGAGAGGTTATGACACATATTGATGTGGAGGGACACAGTGGTGAAGGTGACACCGTGATAAGGGTGAAACAGTGAGGGGAGTGTCACATTAGAGACTAGGCGACACAGTAGGAGGGTTACCTCAGTAGGTGTCATATCATGTTTGGGGAAGGGGAAGACACACTGGTGATGGGTGACACTGAGGTAGGGGAAGGGATTCCGGAATGAGGGCGTGACACATTGGTGAAGGTATTGGGGACAATATAGCGGGGGTGACACAGTGGTGGCAGGAGTGACACGTAGGTGGCAGTGACCGTAGTCCAGGTGACACACACACAATAGGTGTAGTGTACTCGCCTTGGCAAGTTGAATTGACAGTAAGTATAAGTTCAAAACCCCCCTTACTTCTGCCTCAATTGCTTCTTTTCCCTGTGTTCACGTTCATGACACGAAAATAGTTTTTCAATTGACCGTTCAAGTGGTTGGGCACCATTCCTTTCCCCTCGTCCCATCCCAAATCCTTATCCTGACCCCTTCCAAGTGCTATATAGCCGTAATGGCTTGGTGCTTTCCGCTGATAACTCCCTCTCCTCAAGTGACTTCAATTCTAATTCCTATAAACGTTTCCTTGACGCTCATACCTCTCGTCTCTCAACCAATTTATGCCCGAAACGCTTTGCGTAATAGTGGCTTTAGGCATTGTATGTACTAGCTATACCTATAAGTTAAACAATCCTTGTAAATATTTATTGTATGTATGTACCTTACCTAAATAAAATTGTATTGTATTGTAATCTTCCTGAAATCGAAGTACTTTTTGAAATTATGGGGATAATTGCACCAATAAGTAGTAATGCAGTCCCAGTTAGCCAATTTTTGTACTATCTCTGGATAAAATAAAGCCAAAACCAAAGATAAATATTCCTAGGCCTAGTATAGCACATTATATATATATATATATATATATATATATATATATATATATATATATATATATGAAGTTAACGACATCATCAAGAGGAGCCTCACCACAGCTGGATGCCCAGCTGAAAGAGAGCCCCGTTACCTAACGCCCCGTAACTCTGATGCTCTTATTGGTCGCCCGGATGGTATCAAAGTGAACCCCTGGAAGAATGGCAAGCAGTTGGTATGGGACTACACGTGCATATCAACCCTGGCTAACACCTACATTAACCTCAGTGTTGCACAACCAGGTGGCGCTGCCACCCACAGGGAAGCAGCCAAATCCCGTAAGTATAGTGAACTGGATCACCACTACAATTTTGTCCCCATTGCTTCTGAGACACTCGGCGCCTGGGGTAAAAGTGCTACCAGTTTCTTGAAGGAACTGGGTTCTAGGCTCATTGAAACAACAAGGGACCCAAGAGCTGCAAGCTTTCTTTTCCAGCGCCTCAGTGTGGCGATACAGAGGGGAAATGCGCACTGCATCCAGGGTTCCTGCCCGCCATCTGAGGAGCTGGAGGAACTCGACAACCTATGACAATCATCTTTGTAACCCATATGTAACTCCTTTTTTGTAACAAAGTTCAAATAAAGTAAATATATATGTGTACATACAAAAGAATGGGGGTGGTAGGAGAAGATAATATAAGTGTTCAGTGAGAAACCACAAGGTCTCCTCTGAATAATTTTTTTTTCTTCTCCGAGGCTATGGGTCCCCACATTGGCACCAGAGGTGGTACCCTCACAAACTTTTATATATATATATATATATATATATATATATATATATATATATATATATATATATATATATATATATATATATATATATATATATATATGTAACCTCAGATAGCGTGTATTAGCCCTAAGATCGTTACGTTAGAGAGGCCTGGTCGACGACCGGGCCGCGGGGACGCTAAGCCCCGAAATCATCTCACGATAACCCCAAGATAGGAGGCTGGGCTGGTCACCTCTGGGACTGGTCAGGTGACGTTCCTGTCGAATCTTCAGTTTAATTTTAGGTGTTTAAAGAAGAAAGGTCTCCACGCCGGTGCTGCGTATTCTAGAACTGGAAATGTACATGTGATAAGCGTGGTCCTAAATGACTTATTAACATTGCAGCGTGAATGTGTTCATTTCCTGTTTATGCTGACAAGTTCTGGGTGACATCAACCTTGTCACCTCTCGAACATAACCTCTCTCGACCTCTCGACCTCTCGACCTAATTCATAAATTATTTTCTTAGCAACTTGGTACTTCATTTTCATCCTCCTCTTATCAACACCGAGATTCTTCATGTTGCACTTGCCTGGGTTAATCTCTAGTTGCCACTAGTTGCTACAATTCGTTCAGTTTCTCCAAGTTATTCTGTAGATTTGTGCAGTTTGGCGCAATATGTTGTCACCATAATGTCTGCGTCGGCAGCATACTTCGTGAGGAAGGAGTTCATCCTCTCTGAGAAATGGTTTAGATTACACCATGAAGGAAGGTGGAAGTGTGACGCAGGTAGGGGCTAGTGTGACTCCTGAAGGTGGTGGTGGTGTGGCACGGGAATGAGCAGGTGTGGCAGAGACACTTGTATGGTGTGTGGTGCGAGGGCAGGTGTAGGGTGGCTTAGGCACCCTGTGGTCGTTACCCCTGGGTTATTACGACACACGACTCCGCCTCCCAGCCAGTGTTCGTCAGACGCCACACAGGTCGTTCGTGTCATGCAACCACCTTGCATGATACTTAATCTTGCATTAAGTTGTAGTACTGTCTGCCCAAGTTTCGGGGGGTCATGCGCCCGAGTTTCGTATTCACGAAATGTATTTGCAAAGGGGTTGATTTTTTTGCTCCTAGGTCCCGCCTCTCAACATTTATTCAACTACTGTATTGTACAAGTCCTTGAGATTACTGGGCTCTGTAATATCTAATTTTGGAATTATTTAATGAGTTTAAAACTCCAGTGTTCCTCTCACTATTCTATTCCACGTTCTCACAACTAGTCCTTACAACGCCTTCAACCTCGTTCTGATAGTTCCTGCGACGGCGCTGGAACCATTCGTATTGGCGTTTGCCTTTCTATTGGAGACTTTTAGCGCCGTGGAGAGGGGGGGACCTGCTGCTTGGGTAACAGCTTCTCCACCGTATCAACCTACCCTAGCTTTGCGCCCTGGAGAGGCCACTCCAGACCGACAACTACAGTGCAATTCCATAGTCTCCTGAGACTTGTGGATGATGCCTGCTACTGCTACTCTGACACAAGGAACAATATTTACCACCCCTCGGTAGATCATGTGAGAGATCAGTTTCCACCTGTGACACTTTGCTCATAAACGACCCATTCCAATTAGTCTCACCTTGTCTTGCCTGTCTCGTGTCATGATGATGTTATATGACGTAATCATGTCTCATCTGTTGTGTTATGCAAGAACCAAAATTATTATCTTTTCTATATATACAGACAGCCTAGATTCTAGCTAATCTTGCATATATAACTGATTATATCCGCCTGGTTTAAGTTTCAGAAGTCTTGTTAGGTGTGGCGTCAACCTCCAGATCTTTCTGCATGATTCTTGATGCGTTTCTTCAGTAATTTAGTATCTTACCTGGAGCATACCTGAAGAGGGTTTCGGGAGTTCTTCTACTCCAGGAGCCTGGTCCTCGACGTGTGATAACTTGGTCCAACAGACTGTTGCTTGGAGCGGCCCGCAGGCCCACATATTCTCTAGAACCTGGTTGGTCATGTACTTCTTGCAAGAACCTGTCCAGGTGCCTCATGTGCAACCTCTGCCCCTGGTGGTATCTCCCACGCCAAGACCTGCCCCTGGTGGTATCTCCCACGTCAAGACCTGCCCCTGGCGGTATCTCCCACGTCAAGACCTGCCCCTGGTGGTATCTCCCACGTCAAGACCTGCCCCTGGTAGTATCTCCCACGTCAAGACCTGCCCCTGGTGGTATCTCCCACGTCAAGACCTGCACCTGGTGGTATCTCCCACGTCAAGACCTGCCCCTGGTGGTATCTCCCACGTCAAGACCTGCCCCTGGTGGTATCTCCCACGTCAAGACCTGCCCCTGGTGGTATCTCCCACGTCAAGACCTGCCCCTGGTGGTATCTCCCACGTCAAGACCTTCACCTGGTGGTATCTCCCACGTCAAGACCTGCCCCTGGTGGTATCTCCCACGTCAAGACCTGCCCCTGGTGGTATCTCCCAAGTCAAGACCTGCCCCTGGTGGTATCTCCCACGTCAAGACCTGCCCCTGGTGGTATCTCCCACGTCAAGACCTGCCCCTGGTGGTATCTCCCACGTCAAGACCTGCCCCTGGTGATATCTCCCACGTCAAGACCTACCCCTGGTGGTATCTCCCACGTCAAGACCTGCCCCTGGTGGTATCTCCCACGCCAAGACCTGCCCCTGGTGGTATCTCCCACGCCAAGACCTGCCCCTGGTAGTATCTCCCACGTCAAGACCTGCCCCTGGTGGTATCTCCCACGTCAGGATCAAAGCCGTCGGCAGACTTGATGGTGGGGCCTCGACCACCTCGAGGTTATACTCGCTCATTCCTCGACTCAGTTACCTTCCACCATTCATCGATTGAATTCCACCTGAGAAGACTGCCGGAGGGTGGCGTAGCAGAAGTAAATCAAGCCTCTGAGGCGGATTTAATGAGAGCTGTCCAAAAGGAAAGAAACCTGAAGGGGTCTTGAGATGGGGGTCTTGAGAGGAGGGGTCTTGAGAGATGGGGGGGGGGTCTGGGGGAGGGGGGAAAGGCTGCAAGCAGCAGGATAAAAACGACTGTCGGATGTAAAATAATTTTTGGTAAATTTAGTTGGTAGGAACCTTAGAACATGTACCCTGAGAGGTGTACAAAGAGAAGCATCTTTGAGTGGGCGGGAGGTTTTCATGCTGACGTGCTGACGTGCTGACGTGTTGACGTGCAGACGTGCAGACGTGCTGACGTGCTGACGTGTTGACGTGCAGACGTGCTACCAGGACGTTGAGACGTAGAGACGAGCTACAGGATATACGGCCGGAGAGGCAAGGAAGACCTAGTGGCAGCTTTCGATATGTATCTGGGGAGATTTAGATGTAATAATGGGCCTTTGGATATATTTAAAACAAATTGCAGATTTTATTTTAATTTTTTAAATCAAATTGCAGATCTGTTATTTTAATCGTTCTGCTAAGCCTAACTTACTCATTGCGATAACTCATCTTGGATTACTGTCAAGCACAACTCTCCAGGATGACTATGTCAAGAATAAGTCTCAGGGATGACTGTATGTCAAGAATAATTCTCCAGAATGACTGTATGTCAAGGATAACTCTCCAGGATGACTGCATGTGTCAAGAATAATTCTCCAGAATGACTGTATGTCAAGGATAACTCTCCAGGATGACTGCATGTGTCAAGAATAACTCTCCAGGATGACTGTATGTCAAGAATAACTCTCCAGAATGACTGTATGTCAAGGATAACTCTCCAGGATGACTGCATGTCAAGCACAACTCTCCAGAATGACTGCATGTCAAGCACAACTCTCCAGAATGACTGCATGTCAAGCACAACTCTCCAGGATGACTGCATGTCAAGCACAACTCTCCAGGATGACTGCATGTCAAGCACAACTCTCCAGGATGACTGCATGTCAAGCACAACTCTCCAGAATGACTGCATGTCAAGCACAACTCTCCAGAATGACTGCATGTCAAGCACAACTCTCCAGGATGACTGCATGTCAAGCACAACTCTCCAGAATGACTGCATGTCAAGCACAACTCTCCAGGATGACTGCATGTCAAGCACAACTCTCCAGAATGAATGCATGTCAAGCACAACTCTCCAGAATGACTGCATGTCAAGCACAACTCTCCAGAATGACTGCATGTCAAGCACAACTCTCCAGAATGACTGCATGTCAAGCACAACTCTCCAGAATGACTGCATGTCAAGCACAACTCTCCAGGATGACTGCATGTCAAGCACAACTCTCCAGGATGACTGCATGTCAAGCACAACTCTCCAGAATGACTGCATGTCAAGCACAACTCTCCAGAATGACTGCATGTCAAGCACAACTCTCCAGAATGACTGCATGTCAAGCACAACTCTCCAGGATGACTGCATGTCAAGCACAACTCTCCAGAATGACTGCATGTCAAGCACAACTCTCCAGAATGACTGCATGTCAAGCACAACTCTCCAGAATGACTGCATGTCAAGCACAACTCTCCAGGATGACTGCATGTCAAGCACAACTCTCCAGAATGACTGCATGTCAAGCACAACTCTCCAGAATGACTGCATGTCAAGCACAACTCTCCAGAATGACTGCATGTCAAGCACAACTCTCCAGGATGACTGCATGTCAAGCACAACTCTCCAGAATGACTGCATGTCAAGCACAACTCTCCAGAATGACTGCATGTCAAGCACAACTCTAACATCGCCACCGCTACTGTCCCTGGTGAACACAGAGGAGGAGGCGAGCAAGTATTGGTTTTAGAATAGATATTCATGTTTTATAAGCCCAATCGGCGTGGAAGTATCGGCAATGAGCATCACTTTTACCTCCAACAATTCTCCTTTGCGTCCCTTTCATTAACGTAACGTTAAATTACAGGAGAAGTTGTTCAGTTTCCACAACTGGTTAAAACTGTTGGTTGTGTGTACTTTACGATGTTATACATGTATAATAGATAACACGAACTTCACGTATAACTTCTTTACATTGAGGTGGTGGTGCCTACTATACATAGAGAGGATATCTTCAATACATGGCGGTAGTGGTATCTACAATACATGGCGGTAGTCTGATACATAACTCATCAAAGAGGTCCCGGATGCGCGTTCAAAGAAGCGATGAGAACTCATCATCATAACAAAATGTTACACTAGAGAGCATATTCACTAAATAAGTTTATGTCAACAAATAAATTAATTCACTGTTGTATTAATATATACAGGAAGAGAGTACCACCTCTGGCTGGAAGAAGGGGGACCCATAGCCTCGGAGGAAACCACGCATAGCGCATTAGAGGAGTTGTATTAATATATATATATTTCTCAATTCATTGAAGTTCAATCCGAGAATCGAACCTGGAAAGGAGAATGTCGAACACAGTGTCAGGCAGCCACCAGTCCACTATATACAAACTATTGGTGATCTATCTTTTCTGGCATGTCTGGCCCTCAGTCGGGCATATTCTAGATAAGCCAATAGTTAATTTGTCGAAACTGTTGAATATATAGAATCTCTGGAATTTACCAAAACTCTTTTGAATTTATGGAAATCTCTGAAAATCATGAAAAAAAAAAATAATTTATAGCATCTCTGGAATTCGACAAAATTTTTTTTTGAATATATGGAATCTCTGAAAATCCCCAAAACTCTTTTGAAATTGTGAAATCTCTGGAATTCATGAAAAATCTTGAATTTATTTAATCTTTGGAATTTGTCGAAACTTTTAGATTTATGGAATCACTGGAATTCATGGAAACTCTACTTTTAACGAAGGCCCACACGTATGATATATATATATATATATATATATATATATATATATATATATATATATATATATATATATATATATATATATATATATATATATATATATATTTTATTAAATATGACCGAAAAAGTAAGATTAATAATTCTAACACGAATTTTCTCAATCTTTCGTACATTATGCTTCACTGTTGGAGGTAAATCAAAAATCACTTCTCCAAAATTCATTTTTATTTCTAGTCTGACGCGACACGGGCGCGTTTCGTAAAACTTATTACATTTTCAAAGACTTCACAAATACACAACTGATTAGAACTTGCGTTTCCCTGATTTTATATCTACATTTGAGTGAGGTGGGAAGGGTGATGTGGCATTACATTTGAGTAAGGTGGGAAGGATGATGTGGCATTAGAGGATATTAATAGGGTATTAAAAGTATCAACGCAAGACAGAACACTCTCCAGACACGAAACAGAACGCTTTAAAAGAGACTAACGTCGTCTATGCCTTCAAATGCCCACTTGGGGACTGTAAGCTCCAAAAAACCCAGTATATAGGCAAGACAACAACATCTCTTTCTAGGCGTTTAACGATGCATAAACAACAGGGCTCCATTAAGGAACATATAATCTCTTCCCATAACCAAACCATCGCCAGAGAAATCCTAGTAAACAACACAGAAATCATCGATAGATACAGCGATAGCAGGCGGCTCGACGTTTGCGAGGCACTACACATCAAGAAGTCAACACCAGCAATCAACAGCCAATTATTGCACAACTATATTCTACCCACCTCAAGACTCCGCTCCAATATAGAAGCATCAAGAAATATGGACCAATAGGCTTTCTACAAACACTTCTATTCAATATCCATTGTTTCGTGTTCTGTCTTGTGTTGATACTTTTAATACCCTATTAATATCCTCTAATGCCACATCATCCTTCCCACCTTACTCAAATGTAATGCCACATCACCCTTCCCACCTCACTCAAATGTAGATATAAAATCAGGGAAACGCAAGTTCTAATCAGTTGTGTATTTGTGAAGTCTTTGAAAATGTAATAAGTTTTACGAAACGCGCCCGTGTCGCGTCAGACTAGAAATAAAAATGAATTTTGGAGAAGTGATTTTTGATTTACCTCCAACAGTGAAGCATAATGTACGAAAGATTGAGAAAATTCGTGTTAGAATTATTAATCTTACTTTTTCGGTCATATTTAATAATATATGTCTACAGGAAAGACTGCTACCAAAATATACTAATGTTAAAGTGCACGACCCAGCAGCAAGGAATCAAGCCTTCACGATAAAATATCGCCAGGATCTGATTCGTGATCAGATATACAAGGCAGAGAATGAAATCAAAGACAAAAAAACGCAACTACTTCATGCTACAAACGAGTGGAGAAATAGCAACATCGACCATAGTATCCGTACCCGCATTGAACAACACCTCGACATCCTCACAGACCAACATCACCTCAGCACTGAAACAAGGATTATCAAGAAACTAACAACATTATATGGAGGACCTATGGCAATTCCACGACCAAGAGATGGCTTCCTGAACCTTGCAGGAATTAACCTCACTGAGGACCAAGTCACTCTCCTAAATCTGGGCATAAACTGTCATGTTATGTCCAGACCGAGTGAAATGGCCCGGAAAGTGGAGTTGGAAATTCTGTTGGACGACATATTCGACCTCGAGACACAAAAGAAGGTCACTACCAAAGATACCTTACAAGCAGAACTTATTGCAGAAGGAGGAAAGAATCGAGGCAACTACAGAAGCACCATACTGTCCCCCGAGCTTAGAGCGGCAGCTAAAAGCCTTCGTGAGAACAAGGAGATAGTTGTCAGGAGAGGTGACAAGTCGCCAATATATGTCATTCTTAAAAAAGACGAATATCTGGCGAAAATGAACATCATACTCTCTGACCAAACTAAGTTCCAAAGGGTAACGAAGGACACTACAGCCGAATTAAAAGCAAAGGTCAACAAACTGATCGAAACTGTGAACGCCAAGAAATCCGGACTCCACCTGCCAAAGATCATTGGGGAATATAAACCTGGATATGCGTATGGAAATGTCAAGACGCACAAGCCTGGAAACCCACTTCGGCCAATCATTAGCCAGATACCCACACCCACGTACAGATTGGCGAAGCGACTTAACGGCCTGCTGACTCCTTATGTTCCTTGCGCCTTCAGCCTGAAGTCTCCAAAGGAATTTGTGGACTTACTGCGGGGCGCACGGGCCACAGGGATAAGAGCCTCGTTGGACGTAGAATCGCTGTTTACCAACGTACCTGTGGACGAGACAATCGGAATGATAGCCGACAGAGTGTATCGTGATCCAGCCTGTACTCCTCTTGACATGCCAGAAAGTATTCTGAGGAAACTACTCCAAGCTTGTACTAAAGAGGCACCCTTCTTGAGCCCGGATGGGCACATGTATAAGCAAGTAGATGGGGTCGCTATGGGTTCTCCCCTAGGTGTCCTGTTTGCAAACTTCTACATGGGTACCATCGAGCAAAAAGTCTTAGTCGACATGAACTTGAAACCGGCCATATACTGCAGGTATGTTGACGACATTTTTACACAGGTACCTGATGTCAGACATCTGCAGGAGCTGAAGGAGGCATTTGAGCAGAGTTCCGTGCTGCGTTTCACTTACGAGACGGAAAAGGATGGGAAGCTGCCTTTTCTAGATGTAACAGTCATGGAAAAGGGCGGAGGTTTCCACACTGCAGTCTACACAAAGGAAACAAACATAGGAATGTGCCTAAATGCCAACAGCGACTGCCCTGACAGGTACAAGAGGAGTGTTGTTAACGCATACGTCGACCGTGCTCTCAGCCACAGCTCAGAATGGAAGCAAGTCGACGAAGAACTCTGTAGGGTAAGGCAGGTTCTAGTCAATAACGGCTTCTCCAATGGTTTCATCGAAGACATCATAAGAAGGAAAGTGAAAAGCCATGCAACCTCCGAAGAGACAACTAACACAACACCTATACCCCCTATTAGACTATTTTACAGGAACTTCTTTTCCACAGCTCATAAAACAGAGGAAAGGGTCCTGAAAGATATGGAAGTTGTAGTGAAGGACCTGGTGACTCTAGTGGGAGCCCTGAGGACAGAGTTGGACTCTCTGCGGGAGGAGGTGCGTCAGCTTAAAAAACAACGAGAAGTAACGAAGGAGGAGACCAGCAGTAAAGGGACCTCGTCTTGGAGAGTTGCGAAAGACAGGGGCCTTAAGAAGACTTTGATAAAACCGCCTTCAAACGCCATAGCAACTTCAAATTCATTTGACGTTTTGGAGGACGAGTGCTGTGGAGAGACTGTGGATCGCGCAAAAGGGAAAGCAACGAAGAGAAAGGAAGCGCAGGCCCCTCAGAAAGTAAAGGAAGTACCTAAGCAAACATTAGTTGTGGGAGATTCCCAGATAAGGTATTTGGATAGAACGTTTTGTGCTAGAGATAGGGGGAACAGGTTAAGGGTTTGCTATCCCGGAGCTGGCATTGGTGATATTATAAACAACATGAATGATATTATGGCTGGTAATGGGAACAATCCCATTATTTGCATTAGCGTGGGAGGAAATGATGTTGGTCGAGTCAGGAGTGAGGAACTGATTCAGAGGTATAAAACAGCCATAGAGTTAGTTAGGAGCAAGGGAGGAATCCCGATCATATGTGGCATTCTTCCAAGAAAGGGAGTGGGAAATGAATGGATATCGAGGGCACTTGGTGTCAATTGCCGGCTGGAAAGATATTGCAAATCAAATGCAATATCTTTCATAGACAACTGGGAACACTTCTATGGAAGAAATGAAATGTATGCTCGTGATGGGGTGCATCTATCGAGAGCTGGGGTTGTTGCTGTTGCGAACTCGCTAGAAGAAGTGGTTAGAGGTGTTTGTTTGGGTTTAAACTGTTAGTAGATAGAGGTATGGGAATTGATTTGGAGGAAGGAGGTAATAAAAGTATGTG